TTCTATTCTATTCTATTCTATTCTATTCTATTCTATTCTATTCTATTCTAATTCTTTAAGTAGTGAACAGAAATCATACACAAAATAGCCTGTTTTTAGTTCACTTTTATTGATTAACACTATTTACTATTAGTCTTTAAAATAAGATCAAATTAGTAATAGAGTAAAAATAAACATTTCCATACAATACAGATTATCAATTTTATCAATGTATCTATTTGAGAATTATTACAAAAATAGGAAGAGTCACTGGAAAAAAATTGAATACAATGTTTTTCATTATTATCCTTTCAATTCCCTTTCTCTTCCATTCACTTTCAAGTAGCTCCATCCATTTCTTCAAGGCAGTTCTTTTAACAATTCAGCTGGGGAGAGAGTGTTCCTGAATAAAGAAGGAGCAGCAACTGGGGGATTCGACATCATCAACTTGATCACATTTCCTAACAGATCTTTTCAGAGAGTTAGAGTTGGAGACTTAGATCCCAGTGCTCCAAAAGGGAAAGAATTATTCCTTGATGAAGATGCAATTATCTGGCAGCCAGCTTTTGACCAGGTTTGGAGTCATTTAATTAACTATATTTTATTTTATTTTATTTTAAATTTCAACAAAAACAACAAATAAAACCATCTTTCAATTTTACAGTGTGTCAGTTGGGCTCATATATCTTGTATGCATAATAATATTATTGTACATTTCTTATATTTATAAACCATTCTAATCAATATTTTATATCATTGTTCAATTATTATATTATCATTATCATATTAATTGTTATCTTTTAAGAACATATCTCATCCTTGCTAAGTTATATTCATTCTCTTATTCAAATTTAATCAATTATAGTATATTATTACTGTTACTACATATTTCAGTTTTTTATTCTTCTATCTAACCATTCATAAAATAACTTCCAAATCTTATAATGCTCTTTTTCCTCCTGTTCTCTAATTGCCATTGTTTGTCTATTCATTTCCTCACATTCCATTATTTTCTTCATTGTTTCCTCCTCTGAGGGAATTTTCTCAATTTTCCAATTTTGTGCAAATACAATTCTAGCTGCTGTTAATACATTAATAATCAAATATGTAATCTCTTTATTATAATCTTTAAGTAAAATCCCCAATAAAAATATCTCTGGTTTTAAATCTATATGTTGTTTTATAATTTTTTTCCAACTACATGTATATTTTAATCCAGTATCTTTTAGTTTCTATGCATGTCACCACATATGGTAATATGATCCAGGTATCTGATGACATATCCAACATTTTGCCGATTTGTCTTTAAACATTTTTGCTATTCTTGCTGGGGGTAGATGCCACCTTTAAAACATCTTATATAAATTTTCTTTATAGGCTGCTGACATTGTTAGTTTATAATTTGTAGTCCATAGTTCTGCCATTTATCCAAATCTATCCCATATCCAAAAATTTCCCCCCATGCAATCATTGTTTCTTTAACTTGCTCTTCTAATTTCACTCCTAATAAATAACCATATATTTTTTAAATCATCCTCTCTTCAGTGCCTCCATATGTCTTTGATGCTCAATATCTCTGCCATCTGAAAGAAAGATTTCAGCAATGTTTTTCTTTTTTAAAAAAATTCAATTTCTGTGTTTTATAGTCCAATTCTGTATGTACAATAGTGTTAAAGTCTCCAACAATGCATATGTTATCATATTCCAATTCAATTATCTTATTATGTAATTTCTTCTAAAATTCATCTTGTTTTAATTAATTAACTATAATTTGATCCATTATGACACCATGAAAATGTTTTTGTCTGTATATATCTTTTCTTTTAGTCTTTTTTCTTTGTTGAAAGAAAAAACATATATGTTCTGTACAAATGCTTGGTTATGTTCAAGCATTAACCAGACAAAATGACATTACAATGTGAAATGCCAGATTTTCATATTTGAGCTACATTTCCATTTCAAATCATGGAAGTCATGTTGTTTCCATAAGATTGTTATCCCTGCAATTCTTCAAACAGGCCATGAAAATTCTTTCCTGCCACTAAAGAGAATAATTAAACACTGTTTTTTTTAAAAAGGAGGACATAGTGGCTCAGGGGCTAAAACTCTGAGCTTGTCAATCAGAAAGGTTGGCAATTCAGCAGTTTGAATCCCTAGCACCGCATAACGGAGTGAGCTCCTGTTACTTGTCTCAGCTTCTGCCAATCTAGCAGTTCAAAAGAATGTAAAAATGCAAGTAGAAAAATAGGGACAACTTTGGTGGGAAGGTAACAGTGTTCTGTGCACCTTCGACATTTAGTCATGCCGGCCACATGACCACAGAGACGTCTTCAGACAGTGCTGGTTCTTCGTCTTTGTAATGGAGATAAGCACCGCCCCCTAGAGCTGGAAATGACTAGCACATATGTGTGAGGGGAACCTTTACCTTTACCATTTTTTTAAAAAAACTTTCTTTGAAAAACCTTTCATGTTTATGACCAGGTACTTCCAATTTCTCTCTGTAATGGCCATTGTTCCCCTGGATACTGGAAGAAAGAGATAGAAGGAGAACAATTCTGTTGCTATGAGTGTGTTTCATGCCCAAAAGGAAAGATTTCAAATCAAAATGATAGGTGAGACAGTCCATCAAGTTTTCACTTGATTGACTTAAGCAAAATGTAATTAATCACTTTAAGATGTGTATAAGTAGTAGTTTTATGAGTTCTTCGGGGTGAATGTTCCTTTCTATACTATATAAGAGAGTGGACTAGACTCTCTTGTTCAAAAATCAAAGTTTCTGCAAGATTTTGGCAGATAGAGTTTCCTAATATGGGCCCAAAATATATATCCATATCTGTGGCTATTCTGTCTCAGTATTTTTCCATAAGACAAATCCTGCTCA